TACAAGACTCAGGAGACAGTGTCTTTGCACAGAATTGCAAGCCCCTGCAGCCAACAGTTCGCCTAAAAAGCTCTTTTCTTCCTCTTGGCTAGATTCCTACCACTGGTTCCATGTTTTTCTCTCTACTTACCTTGCATATCATCCTGTCTTGTTATTCTTCCAAAGCCTCCAGTCTCTCAGTCCCCTCCATCATTGTGCTTATTTACCATTTACCTTTTGCTATGAACACTTTAATATTCTCTCAGAACCTCCATTTCCTTTCTAACTTACAAGTTCCTCTGCTTTTGTGCATTTTTGTCAGTGTCACCTAGACAGTGTTAATCTCTATATGTGAGCAACAGTTCTAGGATCTAGTTGCACCAATTGACTTCAGCAGAATTAGTAACAACAAATCTACCTGGGGTAATTCGACACCCGTGCTCCCAAACTCCTTTTTAAAAATCATCTCTGTATACGTGAAATGCGGATATGTTTTAATAAATTGATAGATTTGAAACATTGCTATGACATGGATACATAGTTGTTTTACAGATGGTTGTGGTGAAAAAAAACACCAAAACCTGCTGTGAGAACTATTATTTAACAGAAGAAACTAATTTTCATTAAAAAAAAAAAAAAAAAAAAAAAAAGATGCAAAATAATTTGGCAGGAGAAATAAGCAGCAGCACAGTGTGGTCACCAAAAAAGAAGTGGCATGAGTGATCCTGCAATATGTTGCACTGCCAGAAAGAAATAAAGGTCATATAAAAATGACCCTTTAAACCCACAGACAGAAATAGATGCGCCACACATATCCATAAATTTTTTACTTGCCTGACTGGTCTATAGATTTCCTTAACACCAATGAACTGGAGCTGTTCCATTATATCTGGAATACTTGCACATCGGGTGAGGTTGATTCTCGGGTAATAGAGCAGATATGACAGGCACATTTCATTCCTGGTGCTCAGACCACCCTGAAAAAGGGATTTTTCTTTTAATCAAGATAGCATTGGAATCCCACAGATAAAAACTCTGATTAGCATTTATATGCTAATGAAACGTGAATCAGGAGGCCCAAGTCAACAGGCTTATCTTGCACATTAGGTTATCAAGCAGCAAGAATTTATTACATCATTAAGTACAAAATAGTCTGCAAGCTCAAGCAATAGCTCCCAAGCTTAAAAGATGTCAGAAAGAACAACTATCAATAAAATTAGACTTCCATTATGTTGAAGAGTACTATCGAGAAGTCCAGGTTTATTTTCAGCTGTCTGCAAGATACTTGTATCTACCATGTTTCAGAAAAAGGGCTTCAAAGTGGAGCAGATGTAAAAAAAAATCTGGTAGGGTAATTAGCCTGTTCAGTAAAATTAAATGAGCTTTGCCTAGTAAAATGAAGGCCAGGACGAAATATGTATCTATACAGACTCTCCTTGTAAGTACATACGCAGCTAAAGACTAAGAAAGAAAAGAGTTATTTAAGTTAATAGATAATGTTGACTCAAGAACAAAGGGGCATGAACTAGAAAATAATTAATTAGAGTAAGATTTTTAACTAGCGGAAGAAACAGATTCTTAAACAGTCTTCCATTTGAGAGACATGGGGCAAACAACTAATTTAAAATTAATCTTGGTAAATATGGACAAGATTATGAGCTGCACATTCCTAAATCCCGTGTGGGAATAATTCCACAAATCTCACAGAACCACAGGAATAGGAATGGAGAAGACAAAACACACAAACCAAGGGCCAAGGGCTAGTGTGGTCGCTATGCAGGAAAACAGGACAAAACCACAAAAGCCTTCGTTCTCATGATTTTGCTTTTGTTTATATACTTATTGCATGGACCTACATGCAAGACATAACTCAGGGAGAGGTATCCCTGTGCTCTCTGGATGCCAGGACCAGGTCTTTCTTGCCAAACAGAAACTCCTCAGGTCTCACCTGCCGGAGGTCTGAACCCAGCCCCTCCCAAGGAAGGGGGATCAGCCCCTGGTGAAGGATGATTGCCAGCAGCTACATCCCTCTCCTAAACACAGTTGGTCTGGCATCACTCTCTGGTTTTGTAGTCAGCTGGCACCGTCCAGCTCGTGTCCCCACAACCAAATTTTCTTCACCTCCAAAACCAAGTGGCCACATTGCAACGGCCAGCACCTGGCCTCTGACAACCTAAAAAGGTGCATCTGGGGGACCATAAGCTGCCATTTGCCAAACCTGAGCCAGACCTCCTCGAACCCGAAGGGGATGCTCACTCCCTGGCCACGGCCCTGCCTTGTCTACTGCCACAGAAATACACCCGGGGCTGCAGCACAGTTGCTCCTTGTCCCTTGGCTGCAAGGTTGCAGTGGTTCCTTCGCTGCAAGGGTGCAGAGGTTCAGTGTGGGTTCCTCCTGCACCACCTCAGGGGCAGCAGCTTTCCAGGAGGGTCCTTGCCTCGGCTCACTGCGTCCACCCTTCTCCTCCCAGCCTGAAGGACCTGCATTCTGCCTGGATTCTACGTTAGGCACAAAAGCAAGTGGTCCCATCTCGGTCATGGCATAAATAAAAATCAATAGATGAGAACTGGCAATTACAACTTCGGGGAAAAGTGCGTAACAAGTTCATTAAAATAATTCATTAGAATATGCAGAATTTACAAGTTATGAAGAAAGAGCTCCTTATAATAGAAAAGTCTGATTTTTAAAGATCTTTTATGAGCTGGCTTGATTAATTTATAAACTAGTCATATGAATGCCTTATGCAAGAGATCAGAGTAGGATCATAATAGTCCCAATGGCTTTAAAACCTAAGAACCTATGAAAGGAAAGGTAATACATAATTAAGCCCACAGAGGCATTAGCAAGTAAGTTCACACCTTTTAATAGCATTTTATGAAAGATATTTTAGTCACCAATATTATCTGTGTACTTATTTTGATCCATTAAAACTTTTCTTACCCACGTCATGCGAATTCGGTCCACAGTACTATAGTGACATTCTGTGATTAAATTATCCCCCTGAAACACAAGATTTAGGAAGGTCACAGTTCTGAAGTTTATCAACACCAGCTTTGGGTAACCACAGATGACAGCAAACACTTAAGAAACAAAGATCAGAGCAGTGGATACAAGTTTTTGAAAAAGCAAAGGATTAGGTAATTGGTGTATGCTAAGGCCTTGGCACTTAGCATTCAGATCCTCAGGGATCCCCCATAGATTTAAACAGAGTCTTATTAAAAGTCTTGTCTGTTTGTTTTTTTTTTTTTTAAATAGCAATGGAGATGCCCAGTTATAATCCTATTTTCAGGAAAATTATATATGTAGATGACATACACATGCTATTCTTGCTCCAGAATTCATCCAGTGCTACTTTGGATAGCTTTCCCCAGGCTAATTTATCTTGCCAACTTCAATAGAAATACTTGCCAAATGAGGAAAAGAAGGTTTTCCACATCACAATAACAATTATTTATCTGCCAAGCCTGGGAGTAGAGGAGTGGCAAGCAAAGACTTAACTACATTGACAGATATGTATGGGAAAGCTTGAACATTTACCTTCTCAGGTAGATACAATTAAATTTTTGCTGTCTTGACAAACTGATCTACAGTTTGGTAGTACGTTGTACTAATCAAATACAAATCTCAAAATCACCATGATAATCAAGTGGAAATTAAAATATTGAAGAACACAGCTAGATGTCAAAAATCTGATATTTTTGGTCAACTTCATATCACAAGGATGCCAGAGGTTTATTTGCTTTGGTTCGTTTTTTTGTATCATCATCTTTCCTTATCACCCATTGTATTAATCTTCCCTGAAAAAATCAGATCAGCCTTCAAAGGTTGAGAATTTCTCCTTCCCTACAGCTGTCTCGTTGCCAGATGAATGCTAGCACCAACTGCACTCAGGGCTGCTGGAAGAAGGTGCGTCAGCCTCGTGTCGGCCAAATGGAGACAGAGGTTTCTGAAGCAGTGCAAACTGGCACAGCTTCACTGCTCCCAGCGGGCATATGCTGGTTCTCACTGGCTCTTCTGGCTTACAGACTGGATAACATTCACTAAAAGTGTTCATTCTGTGAGATTAGATCCTTTGCTTCCAAATTTAGAAGAAAGTGCTAGTACGCAAAGGAAACAACCTGGACTCCGCAAGCTGAAAGAAGGATACACCCTTGGAAGAGCTTGCAGAAGGAGAGAATAACAAGAACTGAGATGAGAATCTTTAATGTTATTTGTAAATTGATTAGACTGGTCCAAATTACACCAGATGATGTATGTAAAGCTGTATGGGTAGTTTTACGTAAGAAGAAAACAATAAAAGGCATGAAAAAGGCTTGCTTCAGAGAAGGAATTCCAGCTTCTACTCAAGCTGTCTTTTTTAAGTTGCTGATACTATCAAATACCCCTTTTAGTCTTTCGGCTGTCTACTTGCTTTTGTTCTTGAATTTTAAGAGGCCTTTCTCTATAATCTGCACGGACTTTCCTAAAAATATTACAGGCTTTCTCTGCAAACCTGTCATCTTCTGCCAGCCCTCTTCCTAAACCCTTCAACTCTTCTTTCCTGGAGGAGGTAACACCAGTTTATCTTTGAAGTCCCTGTGGAGTACAAGCAGTTGGACTTCAAAGAGTAAATGCTGCACCTGAACATCCAGGTTTTGCTGCAGAAATTAAATTAGAAAGTTAGCATTTTAGCTTCTTGCCTTTAAAGGACAAATATCAAAGTCTGCCAGTGTGGGAGAAGAGACATAAGAGAGAATGGGACTTGAAGAGAAGCCTGGAAGTTCAAACCATGAGGCTCCTGACCATACTTGAAGCTCAGTCATTGCAATGGTCTCTTCACCTCCCTTTCTCTTACTGCCTCCAATCATAAACAAGATCCAGTTGTTTGATATTTTGCCTCTGATGACCAATTCCGTCAACTAACAGGCCAGTTCACATACACCAGGAGAGGCCCATCTCCAGCTGCTCTGCTGGCCAGATCTGGAGCATCCAGCCTTTGCAGTGCTAAACTTTCTGTCCTCAGCCCAAAGCTTCAACAATGGATGCCAGCTGTAACGAACAAAAGATGAGTGAATAATTTTTAAATGAGTGACTCATCCAAAAAAATATACTCTTCTCATGCAATACCTATGGATAGCTGCTGCTTTATAATTTAATAGTAGTTGGGATTTTTATGGAAGTTATATCACATTATTCTCACAAGAACAGCAGATATAATTGCATTATTTCTTCTTCCAGTGGGGTTTGTTTACTAGTGAAACTTCAGGTGGAACATGAGCATGGAGTTATACTTCCAACAACAAATAAAAACGTGAAACAGAAGACTTAGCTTTTTTGTAGACATGTTTGCAAGGCTGGATACTTGCCGTGTGCAAATACTCAGGATGTGCTACTTGGTTCCAATGGCTCTGTAAAGCCACGTAGTGGCATTTCCATTCTCCAGCTGGCTGGATGCACAAAAATGGCACAACCAGGCACATGTGTGATTTTATAACCTGCTTTGTTCAAACATTCGTGATAGTGAAGTTCGAATCAAGTGATTGTGGACACCAAACACACTCAAAGATTAGCTTGAATTGGGTAGTATGTCTTCATGCCTTTTATTGTTTTCTTCTTATGCAAAACTACCCAAGCCAGTTCTGTAGTGAATTGGGTGGACACTCCTGAGACACTGCAATTTTAATGCATTGGTCACCCTGTGATAAGTGGAAAAATTAACAAAACATTGAAGAATTCTGATTCTATGATAAGAAATTCTGTAGCAAAATTAATCCTAAACGTGAGTAAATGTTAGGCACAAAATCTCTTAAACACTCTCAGAGAAAGAATGAAGAGTGTCGTACTGGTAAGATGGTTCTTTCTTCTTTCAGATACTGAAACTCCTGGAAGTTGAAGTCAAACTCATCGTCATAAGCAAGCAGCTTCTGCTCCTCGCCATTGTGGAAGTGGCGCATCCTGATAGCTCTGCCAGCAAGATGAGCATGAAGAAGTACCGCAAACACATGAATCCCAGTAGGTCTCTCAGCACCTAGAGCCTGGCCAGGGAAAACCAACACCATCAGTGTGCCCAGATACAACGTAATTAAATGAAATGCAATGTACAAACAGAGTGAAAATACATTTTAAAATGCATTTTACATTCCCTCAGTTTACAGCAAAATGCAGTCTGGAGCAAAACCAAATCTGTCTGTGAAATTAAAGCTTTATATACAAAAAAGGCTAGTTTTTTTCTGTGACTTTTTTTTTAATAAAAATGTGGGTTTACTCCTAATGCAGACAGTTTTTATGAAAATAAACCAGACTGCCAAATTCTCAATAGATTAAGACTTCCAAGGGAATGATAGTAAAATCTGGACATTATTTTAGTGCTAAGGGTCAGTACTGATGAATGTGGATGTTTATTGTGAAAAAGGATGTCTATGCAGTTATGAATGATGTTATCATCAATATCATGCTAAAAGAAGCACTTAAATTAAGAGGCTGTGGTTATACTATGCTTTACTTTCCATCTTCAAGTCAACTGGTAGTGAAATACTGTAAATTTACATAAGAAACTTTTCTCCAAGCCGAAAACATTTTAAAATTACCTTTTCCAAATTGATACATATCTGACATCACTCCCATTCTAGCTGAGATCTACAGATCCAAACTTCCGATATGCTAAACTTCAAGTCTTTCTTAGAGCGCAAACTAGAAATAATCTGTTATCGCAATATGTTTCAAGTGCAGCCTTAAGGTCAGAAACCTTATGATAATAGATTACTCAAGTAGTTTTGGGCTGCAAAATGCTATGACAATATGCAACATTTAACAACTCCAAGAATAAATCTAAAGTCCATATCTGATTTTCCCTTAACTCTAAACCACATCATAATAAACATTGATTCAACCTTTCTCTATAAATGAAAAAGTATATGGGTATCTCCCATGATACATTAATCACAGGTTTTAGACAATGCTTCAATTATCTGTAGAGATATTTAAATCATCCTAATGAAACCAAGTGTTTAATGAACGCATAATTTTGTACTTTGGACCATACAACAAAACTTTCAGGTCTTTAGTTTCTGTGGTTGGTCTAAGAATACCTTTCAGGCTTTTACTTCACCATTAGAAGCCTTCTGCACATGCACAGATCTTAATTAGTCTCTCTCAACATTTTTTCTGAGCTAGCTGTTCCAGGCTATTAATAGCTTTGCCATGGAAAGTAATGTATGCTTATACATTGAACACACAATTAAAACATCACAAGCACCGTGTCAACCAGTATTACTCATGCCAGTAAAGCAGCCTGAATACTGAGCACCCCAAATATCTAGATCAAAAAGACTCAACGTTCTGGAGGGCAACATGTAGCAGATGCCTTTGCTCGCATGTCTTTAACTGCCAACTATCAATCTTCCCAAGAAATTAAAGTGGCTGTCCAAAAATATTTCTAAGAATGAAAACCAATGGATTCAGGCAGGAGACATACCTCTTCCAGACATTCCAGCGTGCAGTGACCCTCTGACACAAATTCAGGCATGCCCGGTGGGATATTGTGAAAGAGGCTGACCCAAAGACCGGCTTCAATAACCCCAGCATCGTATTTCCTTAAAACCGGAGTATAAATTAGCCTCAGACCAGAGTTATCTATCAAGCCTGCAACAAAAGAACACAGACAGCTGTGGCTGTAAATCAGTATTTTAAAGAAAAAAAAAAATCCAATTATTTCATGTTTTTCAAGGCTTTTCCTAAGTTTTCTACATGAAAATTGAGGAATCAACCTCAATAACCTGGAAATGAGTCAAACCATATGCAGGAAGTAATAAATAGGGGCAGCCCACAGGAGGGTTGTTAAACATGGTATCTTGATATCTGTGGTGTTCAGATGGGAATGAAAAATATGTGCTGTCCGTAGCCCTCGTGTCCCTTCCGCTAAGTTATCCAATATGGACCTCAGAGAAAAGTAGTTAGATTACATGCAGAGCAAAGAGTACAAGGAAATAATAAGACCTCAAAAGGTTCCATGTATGATTTTCAAATGAAATATTTAAAGTACAGCTTAAAGTTGTTTTGTTCCTTTTTCTTTAAAATTTTCAAGCCATGTGTTGCCTTCTACTTGTGAATTTATCTATTCCTTCACCTTGAGCCCTACCATTAACTATATTAATCCTTTGTTTTGGATTCCCTGTCACATTGCAGCATGCCTCAGACGACCAAATACATCCCTTTTACGATCTCCTCAATTAAGAGAGCATGAACTAAACATGAAAATTGGCTTCCTAAATCCCAAACTTGATGAAAATACCATCACGTTTAGTAAAGTAGACAAGAGAACTGTAGAGGATTTTAATGCTGCACTCACTCAAGGACTTCTTTTGAGTTCAAAAAGCAGTTAAAAGAACAAAAGCCTGTTGTGAAAAGGTTGAGCTTTTAAGAGTCAAAATTATACGAATTTATTTTGTTCACATACGTGTTTAGCCATATGTACTTGTTTGTGTATCTATTCATAATTTATGTTGCCTCCATCATCTAAATGCTTATAATTATTCCTCTTCTATTAGCTATTTTTATTAGGCAAGATATAAGCAAAAAAAAAAAAAAAGATTAATTTGTGTTGCACATGCCCTACATTCTGTTAGTTTGTCTGTTACCTTCTTTACGGTCCCTTTTTGAATTTCAATTTTGAAAATTAAAAATGCAGAAAACATACCAAGTATCTCATAGAAGGTAAGAGGCTTCCTAGTGACCTATGTTAGTCTTGTAAAAAACATAACAGACAGCGCCTGAACCCAAATTTTACATCAATATGAAATCAGCAGGCTATTTTAAGATAAGCAAATAACAGGGGGACAGAGAAGGGACTAAGTTACCCAGTCTCTAAAATACCTAAGATGGAGCAGTATATAATTATTAGGGAACAAAGGATATGAACTATGCATAGCCAATTAAGAGTGGTGATCAACTATGAGACATTCTGCAATATACAAATCATGATGTTTCAGGTGATATATACTGTCCCAAAACATCCCAACTTTAAAGTGTTTGGGAATCCATACTCATTCCTTTTCTGAAACTCTTTGTACAATTTCATCAACTTGAATTTTTCCTTTGTGGTATTTCCCCTTCAAGCTTGTTGCTAACACCTAAATGCCAGAAATTTTTATAATATGTAAGAGATTTTGATAAACAACCTCAAAAAAGGTCACCTTTCTAATTAAAAGTGAATGTTAAGGATTTCAGAAACAGAAACATTCAAAACCAGCCAAGCTAGGAGAGCTCAAGCATTTTTGAGTCTAACTGGGAGCCAACTCTGACTACCAATCTGAGTCACTCAAGCATTTTTGAGTCTAACTGGGAGCCAACTCTGACTACCAATCTGAGTCACTAATGTTAGGAAAACATTACCCCAGATCACAACGTGGGGCTAACAATGCGGCCTTTAACTGCAAGACCCAAGCTGGGAAAATGCAGATCCCCAAATGGGAAAACAAATGTGATCCAGTGGCAGGTTGGGTGCCCCCACCCAAAGCAGTGGGAGCACTCAGGTCTACCCCCTCACACTTCTGGCACGATCTTATACCATGTATTTTGTCAAGGAGGAAAGAAACATGACCTGGATTACAGACACCTTGCTCTGCCTACACTGCCTGAATTTTCCCAGGTCTTTCGTGAGACCCTGTGTTCACCTCGGACTGACCCAGCGAGGCAAAATTGTCCCCATTGCTTAAAAAGGAAACAAAGTATTTTGCATGTGCCACTTGAACTAAAACAACGGTATCATACAGCACAGTCGATTAAAATAAAATAGTGAATCTGGGGACAGAACCAATTCGGAAAGAGCTTTTCTGCATGCAACTTCTCAGGCTTTCAGGTAACATTTGATGTAAAAACACGCAACATCAAGAATGCAAATGAAGTTTACTGTATGCCATGCAAATATTCATGTTAAAGGGAGAGAGTCTGTCATTAAATAAAATTATTTTGAGATAGTTCATCTAGTACAACAGAAAGAGGGGGAATAACAGTAAGGCAGAACATTGTAACCCACACAAAGGATTTTATTTTAACACATAGGGGTGTAAAGAAAGGCTGGAACACTGTGCTGTACTGGATTTTACTCAGTTCATATACAGCAATCACTAGAATATTCTCAGATACACTAGTCCAATAAACTATTGTTTCAGAACAAAAAAGTATCTTTCCAAAAGCCAGCTTCAAAGTTCCCTAGATTTTCTGGGGCTCCCTGGTTTCTTTCTTTTGCTTCTTCTAAATGTAAGTGAATTTTAGAAAGAAGATTAAAACACCACCATTATAAATGAAAACCTTATCTTTTGAGATAAACTGCTTTCACCCAGTGAATGATCTAGCAACTTGAGTCTATACTTCACCTTCAGAAACTGCCCAAGGTTCAGGTAGATGTCTTAAAAAAAAATAAAAACTAAAAAAAAAAAAATAAATGGCTCATTCCCTGTGTTTCTGTCTCACAGTCTGGGTGCTGTGCTGCTCTCTCTCAGTCTGATTGAATTTCACAGAGAAAGGAAAGGAGAGAGAGCTAATACGAAGTATGTAGTGATAAAAAGAGATGTATTCACCTGGTCCACAGTTCTTTGTATATCTAAATCTCCTGCTGACTTTAGGTTAAACTTTTGAGTGCAGCAAGAAAAACACTGTGAACCTGGAACTATTGAGGAGGCAAAAATAAACCTCAGCTTTGTATTTGCTATATTTGCTGTGCAATGCAATAACAAGCACTTGTGTCTAGTGCATTTTCTAACCTTGCATGTTTTAAAGAGTGTGAGGGTACAAACCTTCTGTGTATGATGGATTGTCATAATGCACCTCCATAAGAACGAACTGTGGGTCAGCTGCTGTGCCAATGGATAAGCCAACGTGAGGAGGGTAAGTGAAGCCCTGGAAATCAACACATACATACAGAGTTAAGGTATTTTTGTCGTGGTTAAGAGTTAATTTCTTTTTATAAATACACGAACTTTTTTTTTGCAATGATACAATCAAATTAATGCTAAAATTTACAACATTAACTTCTGAACATGGTGTTTTGGTACAATACATTTATTATATATTCAATGCTCTAAATAACTATATCAATATACAATACTAGATCCTATGCATGCTAGAGGATAAAGCCCTGAGCAAACTGGTCTGACCTCACCACTGACCCTGCTTTGAGTGGGAGGCTGGACTAGAGAATTCCCGAGGTCCCTTCCAGCCTGCATTATCTTATGATCTTATGATTATTTCTCCTGTATTTAGTGCTTAAACGGAAAAGAAAAATACTATTTCAAATGTATAAACATTGCAACATCAAGCAGTTAGTCTAGTAATAAAACCCTTAGAAAAAAGTGAATCTACATTTTAAATGTTCCCAACTTCTAAAAGCAGTAATTTCCAGGGAATACTGAGGTTGTATGTAATTAGATTGTTTTTCCTGTACAAATCACTGCATTCTAAGTAAAATTATTTGAACAACAAAGGTGATCTTCATGGCTACAGTTACACTGGCAAGCCATGCAGTGCAAAAGAAATAGCTCTGTACAGTGCAATGGCTTATGCTGGACCCACCGCCCCCAAATGTTGCTCCTTTGGACAAGCTCTGGTCAGACCCCATGCACTGAACTCCATTTATTGTTGGTAGGTGCTGGGTTCACCCCTGCACGTTCAGTTTAACTTCATCCCAAAAGAGGCTGTGCAAGTTCTCAAGCCACTTGTAATAATAAACAGAGTTTGGTAAGTAACTGGGAGATTTACTTCAAAAGCTCACTCCTGATTCAAACTGAAATGCCAGTATCTTCTAAGTGAACTCATTTACCAAATTCACATTTATGGGAATTAATCTGCAACATTTTATAGTATATAGCTAATATTTTAATATGTTGAGATTCTGACTTTCTGAAATTTGCAATTTGAGACACCAAATTTCTGACACTTGATGGACATTAATGAATTAACTGTGGTATATAGTAATAAATATTATCACCTCCATTCTACATAAGAGTAAAGAGTGAAGTGAGTACTCCAGTAAACCTGAATGTAACCCAGATCTGTCAGATTCCTCTCTACAGATCTTTAACAACAGGATCATCCTTGCAAAAGCCTCCATAGTTCTTGTCAAATGATAACTTATTTATATGAGTTTTTTATTTCACTTAGATTAAGACAGTTGAAAGTACAAATACTAGGTCAGAGCATAGCTGATGGCAAAAATGCACAAAACACACATCAGGGATAATGTTTATAGTGGATTAAACTTCTTTTGATGGCTCCATGTAGCAGCTCTGGCTTCCTCACACTGCAGCACTCCAAGACAATTTTGGACTGCAGGCTGGCAAACGAAGGCTCCAGAAACTATCATCACCCTAGTCCCTCTCTGTGCCCACACCATCGTTTGTGTGGGCCCACAGTGAATTAAGGGGTAAAGAAGGGGTGGGATTCTTTTGACAGTAAAGCTGCCTTATGTCAGCTGAAAGAATTAACCACAGCCTAAATTAACATATGAAATAAGCCAAAAACACAGCCTGGGGTCAACATGGCATCAGAGACTGTGTTTTCTGTAGATACGCCCCATTGCCATGAGCAAAGTGGTCCTTGTGCTGGCTCTACACTCACACAGGATCACTCCTACACTGAAATGAAGCCCCTTTGGGCTGGGTAGGAAACATGAATGACATGCCTGAATGGGGCAATGCTGTAACTAGGTCCGGGTGAGGTACAAAATGAATTAAATCTCTAACTTCATTTGGAAAGTCTTGCCTACATGTCTTTTATGTAGTCACCTAGAGAGACTGCTTTTCTGTCATTCTCCACAAGTAGCAGACACTGGTCATTGCTGGAGGCAGTATATTTCCATATCAGATGGGACAAGTTGATACAGCGACAGACTTCCATGCTCCCAAGCCATCTTTCTTCCCTTAAGGCATCAACTCTCTCTATACTATTTTCATTACTTTTAGCTTGTCCCTCAGGTTGATCATTGCATTTCGTACTTAAAAGGCCAATGAGAAGTTGAGAACTTACTGGTGAGGTATTTAGGGATTGTGACTGTGTACCCTCAAAAACAGACAGATAAGTAATCATTAGGATTATTAATTTATTATTAGATTATTCTTAATCTATCAGGAAGAAGCTTCATTATGATACAGACTCTCCTAAACCCCCATTGATGAACCATGCTAGACAGTCATTCATCCTACCTCTCCTCCAATGGCCCAAGCAAAAATGACCGTCTCACATGTGAGAAAGGAGTCTGGCATGTTGGGGTGGTAACACTCGTGGCCATAGTCCAGCACACTGTCGTTCAAATTGCTGCTGCACTGGTAGAGCAGAATATGGTGCACCAGATTCTCATGGCCTTTCTGGATCAATGGTTCAACCTGTCAATGTTAAAATGAAAAAGAAAGAAAAGACATCTCAAATGTGACTATTTCAATGCAGGTATGCAGACAGAACTAAAAATTACATGGTGCATTTATTTTAGTAGAGGAGACTTGACATTAGATTGTAGTTAGGTTGAGATGTTACTTCAGCACTCTGCCACCCCAAGCATTGAAAACTTCATTGCCCAGGTGCATCTACGGGGGATAGGAAGAAAATTCTGTGTCTTACTGAAACCTCTGTTGCCATCTGTCTTGTTCTCTCTTCTCCCACCCCAGTCTTGCACTGTCACTTGTCTTTCTCCCTGTTCAATCTTGTTTATCCACATTCCAGCATGAAGATGATATAAACCAGCTGGTATCTGAACTGCTCAGAACTTTTCATCCCTGTTTCTGCCTTTTCTGTAACTAGTTCAAACTAGAGTTGCCCATAGTTTCTGTACATCTAGGGTGAGCCTGGAGGTATACCCCACATTCCTCACCAACTCAAGATAGACTTTCACATTTTCTTGACATCTACAAGAAACTAGAATTATTTTACAATCTGTTCAGTTGTAAAGACTTTATTAACATGAAGTCATTCCTGAGAGGTCGGGCGCTCCAGCCCGTTTATGGTAGTGATCAGCTGGAGGGCTCTCAGGGGTGCTCGGGTGCCCCCAGTATAATTTGACCACCAGTCTTCAGGGTAGGCTGAAATGATTTCATTCCCATATACCAGTGTTCACTTTCTATTTGGATGGATGGTGTTAAATCATCTCTGTCAGAGATGACATCCCTGAGGCAAACATCAGTACCTCTGAAAAAAATTATCTTGCTTTTCAGAAAGATCATGTTCTACAAAATATCACCATATGGAAAACAGTATTAAAACTAAAATGAAAGGAGTTTTCCCCTTGCTTTTGCTTTCAAAGACTGCATCCCGTTCTATCATATCTACCTTCAAGTTGAATAAGACAAACATCAATGTTTTCACAAGAAAAGTAAAGCTTTGGCAATATGACTCTTAAGATGGAGGGTGCCATGCAGCATTGCCTTTTAATATTAGGAAAGAGAAGTTATTTTAAACAGCCAAAAAATGTATATACATCCTAACTTTGCATCCATTTGTTTTGCAAGCACATGAACCCCAGATACCAGAGGACCAGAACAGGGTAAGCAAGAAGAGTTTATTAGATTACTAAAATATAGTCAGCACAATATTGTTACCAGGAATTTATCTCTCTGCACTTCGTTCAAACCACTAAACCAATTACAAAAGAGGAAGGGCAGGAAGAAGCAACAAGAGCCTGTGCATATCAAGACCACCCTTGTTGATATGAATTTGCAAAATACCATTGAAGTTGGGCTCTTGGGGAGTCCAGCTGCTGCCGAGTACCTGCATGTCTGTCCAAGAAGTGCACAACCCTAAACCACCCACTTCACTGCACTTAGAAGTCAATGGAAGGATGCCAATTTGCATGGATGCACCAAAGTTTTGTTCTGAAGGCAAGACTGAAATACTTCATTAGAGATCCTCTGTACTGTTCTCGGATAATCCTTATTTCAGTTAGCGTTACCATTATCATGAGTTACTGTACTATAGAAATAAAGCGTTATTTTTGAAGGAGATAGATAGAGTTTTCTCATCAGATAAGAATTTATTCCCAAATATATCAGACTGACTGACAAGGATTCAGAAATCCATTTCAGCCCGATGTTGCTTCTTCCCTCTGCTCCGTCATATACTTGCATATTATCCAAATACTGCAGAACCAAAAACACATTCATATCATGGCAGTCCATACATTAAATAGCAGTATAGAGCTGCACATAACGTGTAGGTTAGTCAGGGAAATGGTTATAGGAATATTATCCCTGTATCTATCAAGAAAAAAGAGTATCTTTGTCCCAACATGTGATAGTTCTGCCTGCTGCTACAAGATCCCAGCACCTGCTGTGCTTACAATCACTACTTCAAAACCAACTTCCCCTCAAAACAATGGGACATCACCAAAATTAGAAACTCACATCCTGTCATCGGGTTTTAGTGTCAGTTACCTAAACAACAACAGCACTTCAAAAAGTAGTTTTGTTCAGCTTTCTTTAGTGAAGAAAAAAAAGTAGAATAAATCCTTAAGCATCTTTCTGATGCATCTTGTAGGAAAACTCACATTCTTCAGTTGCACAAATAAATAATGAAAAGCAGCAGCAAAGTTACACATTTTACACATTTTTATTACAACTTGGTTAAAGAGGTGCCACCTTTCTCTCTCCCCTTTTAAATAAATAGAGAAAAAAAGAAACTATTAGGAGTGGTCAAAAAACTATCAACAAAAAAAACTTGCAAAATCTCATTAATCACAAATTGTTCATTTCCCAGAAATGTATGGAAATATTTTAATGGCCAGCTCCCTAAGGCTCACAGCATTATTTCTGATTGTAATGAGAGAAGGAAGAGGAGCAGACCCCCTAGACGTGTTGTGTTTCCTTTCTCTGATCCAATGAATAGCTAACTGTATTTACTTACTACAATAACTTCAGCAAAAAGAAAATTAAAAAATACAATCTCATTCTCTATTGTAGTGATTATTTGCAGGGATTCTCATCCCAGGTGAATGCTGCTCTATTTATTCAGCCATTTACTATTTTAGCTTACAGAGTAAGTCAGTTTAGGCTTCCTCTCTCTTCCTCTTTCACTTTCCACAAAGAGCATCTGTACAGCTTAGTTTGCTCCAAGCTGAAAAGAAATTCCAAAACCTTGGTTTTTTTTTTTTCAAATAAACAAAATTCTTGTTTTCTGGCCAGCCTTATACACAATGATGAACAATGACTGAGTTTCTCTAATATGGGGCCAAATTCAGCAAATCACTTAATGCATAAGTAGTCCCAGGTGTAAAATAAGTTGCTAGAGCAGGTATCTACAATTAAATATCTAGATCAGGGTGGTTTCCAGAGTACTTGCAGCCTCAATGAACGATAATACAATTTGCAGGGCCCATCTCCTACAAGGTTATTCCTATTTTAACAGATCTTTATCAGTCTTGATCCCTAACTATAGGCATTCATTTTTAAAACATGGACAATTTAATGCACACATTCAAAGTTTCCAAGTTTTTTAATTTTTTAAGCATAAAGTTTTTGGTTCTTCAATAGTCTTTAATCCCCAAATTACACAACGGAAAGCCAAGCTAAGCTAAGGTCTACTTTTGCAGGATTCCAGTCACAATAACAGTGGACCAACCCTAAAAAGTCACCATGACTGTCTTGTTAATTTGTATCAGGAAACAGTGCAACTCTTAGAATACTTACGAAAAGATAATAATTTACTGCAGTAAATTGGTGCAAAGGAGTGAAATACAGAAAAAAAAAGTGATGAAAATAGGCACAATACGTATTAGTCAATAAACTGCAGATTTAAGTGAACAATTCATTTTTATTTGGATTCTTATTTACACACAGCCTTGTTTACTGTGTTCTCATAGTGTAAGGGGACCCTCAAATGACACTTTCAGCCACCAATAACTGAGTAATTTAGATGGGTTGCAGCGAAAATGGGAATCCGCCTTTCACTTTCAATATTTGTGAGGAAATCTGTGATTTTGAAACATAGTTCCTTCCCCTTTCCATGCTAATTCCTACCTACCTCTTGTTAGCCAATGGAGTCAAAAAAGAGGCTGAAAGGGAACATGAACATAACTACCTGTTTTCCCTATTTTACCTCATTTTTTGAGGCTCATCTGTGGTGCTTTCACTATTGCTGACATGCAAGGAAGACCCAGCTGTCAGGATTCATCTCTTTGCCATGTTGTGAATAAGCCTGCAGAGATACTGCACCACCGGCGCACCTCGGTGACTTCTTCCCCTGCAGGCAAAGTGCATTTTCTGCTTGACATTTCCTAACTGCCAGAGGCTCAGAGAACAAAAGCCCTATATTCACCCTACATCAAAATGCCCAAAGCGTTTGGGCCTGCAAAAAGTAAGTGCATGCAGCAAGACACAATCTTTCCTGCTTTTCATGAAACCTTCAGAAAGAAGCTCCTGGTTTATTATTCATGATGATTTGCTTTCTGCATCCTCTCTACCTTCCTTGAAAGCCTGGGTGAAAGACCTTTCTAAACAAGTACACTGACATACATGAACCTATCTGACTCCCACTAGCAGAGGTAAAAAATAACAGATGTACTATAATCCCCTACCACATCAATCAGGTTTCCAAAGAAAGAAGCATTTTAAATAAACCACATTCAAATGCGAAATTAAGACACTGCCTTCTGCAACCAAAAGTATGGGTTACGGTTATGGTGTTTGGATAGCATGACCTATACTTGTTGGGCAGGTTGAGAGGCTTTACAGAGCTCCTTTCATCATACTGAATACCTTAGCACTTCTGAAAATACTGACTTTTAAAGAATATAAAATAACAAATTTTCAATTTATTATCAAGATGAAACAGATAAGATGTGTGCTTTCCACCTCTTAAATTAACAGAAGCCCTATTCCAGTCAACAAGCTGACATCACATGAACAAACAAAATGCTTATATCCGCCAGTGATGGGTTACTCAGCTTTAATTTTCCTTCCTCTCTTCTCTATTTCCTATTATTCCTTTACCTGCTGCACAAATTGAACATACCACATGTCATTTCTTAAAAAAAAACAAGCCAGCATTGTAACATAATAGAGCCTTACATCTCAAGCTGCTGATAAGCAGGATCAAGATACTAATGTACAATGTATTAAACAGGAAGAAAATGCAAACAGCTCAAATGGTCCAAGAAGTTAAGATTCCCTACAAGGAAAAAATATCTCTTTCTTGCTTATTCCTGGTTTTTTCCCTTTTTATTTGCTTTGCTTTCTTTGATGTTAGCAGCTGTGGTTTGTTCTTCACATCTGTTTGTGCAAATGATGAAAGTTAGTAAACTATACCCATAGTCTCCCCATAGTGTCCCTGCTAGAAAATATAGCCCACTGAATGTCAGAAAACAAAAAGCCGACTTTATTTTTATATATGAAAATGGCAA